TGGTCGCATTAGCCGTAGCTGCGCTGATCTGAAACCAGGAGCCAGGAGCCTCCTCTGGGTCTCCCACACGGGTGCAGGGGCCCAAGGACTCTACTGCTTTCCCAGGCCATAGCAGAGAGCCAGATCGGAAGAAGAGCAGCCGGGACTAGAACCCGCACCCATATGGGATGCCGACGCCTTAGACCAGGGCCGCAACCCGCTGCGCCACAGCGCCGGCCCCAAGGAATGCAGTACTTCTTAGAGCACCTGTCAGTCATGTCCCAGCACCACATCCTGACCCCTGATTCTGAGTGCTGCCCAGGGTATGGGAGATGACGACGCTGTAACACACGACACAGGAAACAACCTGAAGTAACTGGAGGAATGTGGTACAGAGCTGAATTGTGGGTGTTGGAGCCAGGAAGTGAGGGCAGCCAAAAGCCAAAGGTTTTCCACAGAGATGGCAAGGATTCCTGGGAGTCAGAGGATGACAGCATTTATCTGCCACATGTATGCAGAGAGGCTTACTGCCTGGGGACCAGACACCTCGCTGGTGAGCATGGTGAAGGATGTGACGCGGCACATACTCCAAAGGCCCAAAAAGGCTTGAGGTTTAGATGCCATAAGCAAAAGAGACAATAGAATTGCCATGCTAGATGGCAATAGAAGCAAGGAGACCTGCCAGTGCTGTGGGTTAAGTCGCCACCTGCAGCACCCGCGTTCCATATAGGCACCGGTTCAAGTCCCGGCTGTTCCACTTCTGAGCCAGCTCCCTGCTAATGCAGCTGGGAAAGCAGCAGAAGATGGCTCAAGTGCTTGTGCCCCTGCACCCACATGGGAGAGCTGGAAGAAGCTCCTGGCTCTTGGCTTCAGTGCAGTCCAGCCCTGGCCATTGTGGCCATTTGGGGAGTGAACCAGCAGATGGAACAACTCTCTCTCTCACTTGCTCTCGCTCTTTCTCTCTCTCTCCTTCTCTCCCTCTCTCTGTAATTCTGTTTCAAATAAGTAAATAAATGCATATAAATATATATATTATAATTAGTCAACAATGTTAACAAGGATGCAGATATCAGCCATGTTGGTTACTTTTGGCTGGGAGGTGGTTCCGAGCAGTGATTTCGGGAAGCTCTGGTTATCTCATACATGGAAACCTAGGGCATTCAGCAGAGCAGGGGGCACTGCACGGAAGGACTGATGGCCTCAGCTCCTCCTCGCTAGCTTCCTCTGTACCCACGTCAAATGAGTGAGGAAGGAAGGAAGGAAGGAAAGGAGGGAGGGAGGGAGGGAGGAACTGAGGAGCAAGAGAGAAAGGAAGCAAAATAAAAAGGAAAAAGAAATGTCCTCTTGAAGAGAATCAGACCTCTGATTGGCAGTTGCCTGGATCACCTTGGTAACTACCTAGAAGAAATCTTAATCTGATTAAAATCTTAAAGTTTATCAAGTACACCAATTATTCTCCAGATGCAGCAATGACTTATCACACACAAAAATTGCCAGACCAGGTTTTCACATAGTTATTTTTCTTTTTTAAAGATTTATTTATTTATTTGAAATGTGACGTTACAGAGAGGGTGAGGCAAAGGCTGAGAGAAAAGTCTTCCATCTGCTGTTTCACTCCCTAACTGGCTGTACCAGCCAGGGCTGGGCAGGCCGAAGTCAGGAGCCAGGAGCTTTATCTGGGTCTCCCACATGGATGCAGGAGCCCTAGCACTTAGGCCATCTTCCACTGCTTTCCCAGGCATGTTAGTAGGGAGCTGGATCAGAAGTGGAGCAGCCGGGAGTTGAACCTATGCCCATATGGAATGCCCGCACTGCAGGTGGCTGCTTTACCTGCTGCGCCACAGCGCTGGCCCCCAGAGTAGCTCTTGCAGTGTCACTGAGCACAGGATGAGAATACAGGGTGTGTAAATGACACCTGCATGTTTTGAACACCCCCCTTTGACTGAGAAGGCTTTGTCGTGGATTATGAGGGGAGAGGCAAACCTTGAGTGCCACCTAACAGGTGAAAAGACAAGAGGGTTGTTTTATTTTGCTAAACTTGGGCCCAGCAGCAAAAAATGGGCAACATCAAAAAGAGTCATCAGGTAAGAACACAGGTGCCTGAGGCCAAGCATAGTCACAAGGTCAGTGTCATCAGGTTACCAATCCCTTCCAGGGCATAGTCAAAAGTAACAGCATTTTCAGTTTTTTTTTTTTTTTTTTTAAAGTAAGGCATCTCCTATTATTGTGTTAATTAGTTCATAATTGTCTATGGTCAGAACATTTCCCCCCAAGAAATCTAAGAATAGATCTAACCTAAAATTCCTTTTAGGTTAGAAAAGAGAGTAAGTCTACCACTGAATAGACAGAAAGCAGAAAAATCACTTTTTTCTGCACCATGTTGCAAACAGACTGCTATTCAAGAATCATTTCTCTTCCAACTGACCAATACTCTCCTGTTACACATACATGTCTAAAATTCAATTTTAGGGAGGAGTGGCTGGCACAGCAGCCAAGATGCCAATTGGGACAGCTATGTTCCATAGCAGAGTGCCTGGGCTTGAGTTCTTTCTGCTAATGTGCACCCTGGGAGGCAGCAGGCGATGGCTCGAGTACTTGGGTTCCTGCCACCCACGTAGGAGACAGAGGTTAAGTTTTGGGCTCCTGGCTTCTGCTCAGCCCATCCCAGCTATTGTCAACATTTGGGGAGTGAACAGTGGATGGGAGATGTGTCTCTGTTTCTGTCTCGCCCTGCCTTTCAAATAAATGAAAAATGAATTTTTAAATTAATATTAACATTTCAGTATGTGAGTCTTTTTTAAATATGTATTTATTTATTTGAGAGGCAGAGGCAGAGAGAAAGAAAGAGAGAGAGAGAGAGAGAGAAAGAGTCTTCCATCAGCTGGTTCACTCCCCAAATGACTGAAATGGCCAGAGCTGGGCTGATCTGAAGCCAGGAGCCAGCAGCTTCTTCCAAGCCTCTCATGCAGGTGCAGGGGCCCAAGGACTTGGGCCATCCTCTACTGCTTTCCCAGGCCATAGCAGAGAGCTGGATCAGAAGTGGAGCAACTGGGACTCAAACTGGTGCCCATATGGGATGCCGGCACTGCCGGCAGTGGTTTTACCTGCTACACCGCAGCGTCAGCCCTCAGTATGTGTTTAAATGTCCAAATATATAACAGTCAAATTAAATTGTGATGAATGCAAATATCTGAGGCTTTAAACATTTGCATTTGAAACCTAATCTTATCACTCATAAGACAATATTCTTACTACATTGAGTCTAGCTTCTAATTTGAAAGTCACAAAGAACAAAGCATGTTTCCACAGACAAGCAAATGCACGGAACAACAATTGCATGTTGACCAGGAACTTTTGAGCTCCACTTTTAATCAGATTATTTTCCTACAAGTGGTCCAATTCTATTACCCCAATTTAATATTCATCTTACATTCTAGAAACCAAATCAGGGATTTTGGAATTACATATTTTATCCATGTTGAAGAACAATGCATTCTCTGTTGAAATTGAAGGCAAGTGTTACACTTTGACGTATGCCAGTTGCTGCATCACGGCAGACTCCCAGGAGGCAGTAGCTCCGAAGCTGATTGGTGGGGCCTGGCTCACAGGCCCGTGTGATTGCTCCAATAGCGGCAGGGAAATGGTCCTCGTCTCTCTTTAAGACTTTGGTCTTGGCCGGCGCCGCGGCTCAACAGGCTAATCCTCCGCCTAGCGGCGCCGGCACACCGGGTTCTAGTCCCGGTCGGGGCGCCGGATTCTGTCCCGGTTGCCCCTCTTCCAGGCCAGCTCTCTGCTGTGGCCAGGGAGTGCAGTGGAGGATGGCCCAGGTCCTTGGGCCCTGCACCCCATGGGAGACCAGGAAAAGCACCTGGCTCCTGGCTCCTGGCTCCTGCCATCAGATCAGCGCGGTGCGCCGGCCGCAGCGTGCTGGCCGCAGTGGCCATTGGAGGGTGAACCAACAGCAAAGGAAGACCTTTCTCTCTGTCTCTCTCTCTCACTGTCCACTCTGCCTGTCAAAAATAAATAAATAAATAAATAAAAATAAAAATAAAAATAAAAGACTTTGGTTTCAGGAATCTTCCAAAAGCGGAGGGGTTCCAAATGCCTAGTGGCCAAAACAAATGGCAAATGTTGGTTGCATAAAGCAGAAAACCCTGTTATTTTCTCACTTTTTTTTTTTTTTTTTTTTGACAGGCAGAGTGGATAGTGAGAGAGAGAGACAGAGAGAAAGGTCTTCCTTTTGCCGTTGGTTCACCCTCCAATGGCCGCCACGGCTGGCGTGCTGCGGCCGGCGCATCACGCTGTTCCGAAGGCAGGAGCCAGGTGCTTCTCCTGGTCTCCCATGGGGTGCAGGGCCCAAGCACTTGGGCCATCCTCCACTGCACTCCCTGGCCACAGCAGAGGGCTGGCCTGGAAGAGGGGCAACCGGGACAGAATCCGGCGCCCCAACAGGGTCTAGAACCCGGTGTGCCGGCGCTGCTAGGTGGAGGATTAGCCTAGTGAGCCACGGCGCTGGCCTATTTTCTCACATATTAAGCACAGCTCAGAGGGAGCCAGTTCAGGACTGGGAAAGGACTAGGCAATGTCATCAGCTCTGTCCAGGGAGCACGCTGACTTGTGGCCTAAGAGGTCCAAGGTGACAGCCAGGATATCTGAGTTCAAGACAGGATGAAGGGGTGGAGCTCCGCCCTCAGCAGGTGTCTCACTGAACAGAATCGTGTCATGAAGGCAATCTGAAAAAGAAGGAATGCTGGGAAATTATTTAGTTGAAATTTTGTCATAGCAAAAAGGAAGAAATGGAGAGGGCGCCGGTTCGAGTCCCAGTTGCTCCACTTCTGATTCAGCTCTCTGCTATGGCCTGGGAAAGCAGTAGAAGATGGTCCAGATGCTTGGGACCCTGCACCCACATGGGAGACTGGGAAGAAGCTCCTGGTTTCGGATCAGCGCAGCTCTGGCTGTTGTGGCCAATTGGGGAGTGAACCAGCGGATGGAAGACCTCTCTGTCTCTGCCTCTCCTTCTCTCTCTGTGTAACTCTGGCTTTCAAATAAATAAATAAATCTTTTAAAAAGATGGGTTTATTTAGCTCACAGTTTCCAAAGCTGAAAATCTAAGATCAGGTGGCCCCATCTGTTGGCCTCTGGTGAGGGCATGTTGCGTCACAACATGGCAAATGACATCATGGCAAGAGCACCTGGACATGTGACAGATGGGATGGCAAGACCAGAAGCTGGAGAGCGGGGAGGGCCAGTCTTGCTCTTCACTAACAACCTACTCTCACAGGAAGGAGGTCTCATGAGAGCGCCGTCCCTTCTGGGGGGGCCTCACTCTAGGCCCCGCCTCTTAAAGTTTCCACCACCTCTTAACATTGATTCCCTGAGGACCAAGCTTCTAGCGCATGAACCTCTAGGCGACAAACCACATCCCAAACCATAGAGCCTGTAGTGAAGCCAACCTCACAGGGGCAGGACCTCCCAGCCCCCAGCACACGTGCATGCGCCCGTGTGTGTGTGTGTGTGTGTGTGTGTGTCTGGGAGGCAGGGGTTGCTACTGGAAGTCATTGGAAGCAGCCAGAGCCCCCAGTCCTCAGCCTCTATGATGTCACAATCAGATTTCTTTCCTTCTATCCTGGACTGTTACTTCCGAGGCTGTTGTGGTCATGGGGCTCTGGAAACCAGCAGGGAGAAGGGAGCTTGGTGGCTCTGATCTCCCCTGGGGACACAGGACAGCCAGGCATGCCGCTGTTAAAGGATGCCACGCCCATGGTAAAGGAGCTGCGGCCCCCGCCGCCGGTCCCCCTTTGCTGGTTCCTCCCGAGCCTATTTGCTGCCTTCAACGTGGTGCTGCTCGTCATTTTCAGTGGTCTCTTCTTTGCATTCCCGTGAGTCCCCTACGCAAGCTGTCAAGCTTCTTACAGTCAGCTTGCATGGAAAACAGATAAGGACAGCAGGCAGGCAAGGGCATGCAAGGGGGTCAGGGTTCAGGGACAGGAACCTATTCTAGGTGGAGGGAACTTTGCATTTGGGGAGCTGCAGGTGGCTGGTAATGCTGATGATGTTTGGGCTGTCAATGGCCTGGCTGCCCAGAGCTGGCTGAAAGGTCTGTGAGTCCTGACCCCAGCACGCCAGGCCCTCGGGGGAGCTGTGGGCTGCCGCGGGTCAGGACTGAGCCTGGCTCTGGTTTCAGTTGCAGGTGGCTGGCTCAGCACGGGAACTGGGCCTTCCCCACCGTCACAGGCCTCCTCTTTGCCCTTACCTTCTTCAGTCTCGTTACACTCAACTTCTCAGACCCTGGTATCTTACATCGAGGTGAGGCCTCTGCCCGCTGGGAGAAGGAGGTACCCACCCCCAGCTCCCCTCCTCCGCCCCAAGGCTCCTTCCCACATGCCCATTGCTCTGGCCCTGACGCTTCATCCCCCAAACCACCAAGGTGTGGATAAATACAACTCTGAAGCTTTTCCAGTTGCCTTGAAGGGAGGGCTGGTCAGGGGCTGGGGGAGAGAAGCCCGTGGGTTCTTCCTGGCCACTGGTTCCCTCTGCTTCCCTCCCATTGCGCACACAACAGAAAACGTGGATCACGGTTCCAAAGGCCCGAGCTCCTATAGAACGCCTTCCCTCTACCTGCTGCCCCTCTGAGCCGGCCCGGCTTGCTCAGTGGGACAAGGATTCCTCTTGCCTCCTCCACGTCTTTCCCTGTGCTTGCTGATGCTGTGCTGCTGCCCTAAGCAGCAGAGTGATGCAAGGGCCCCAGCCGCTGCCCGACCCTCCTCCCACGCCAGGCTCCGGCGAGCAGAGCCCCATGACGGTGCACGTGGTGTGGGTGAACCACAGAGCCTTCCGCCTGCAGTGGTGCCCAAAGTGCTGCTTCCACCGCCCGCCCCGGACCTACCACTGCCCCTGGTGCAACATCTGTGTGGAGGTGAGTCCCTCATTCGCTTGCCTACCTGCCACCCCTCCTCCACCAGGGGTGGGAGCAAGACCAGGGCTGCTAAAGGCCAAGGGGAGCAGTAACTCCCAGCCACTTTGGGTCAGCCACACAGGTCACTGCCTCTGTGCTCACGTCTCTCTGGGGAGGCTGGCCCTTGCCTGCACAAATGCTAACTTGTATGGGGCATCCACAGCCACACCATGTCCATTGACAGTAGATATGAAAGGCCCCCAGGCTGGCTGCAGCTGTGGTCTGGGGTGCTCAGCCTGGCCTCCCTGGGTATCAGGTTGGAGGGTCTCCGGAACTCCGAGAGCCTGCCTTTGCCAGGTGCACGGTCTGCACAGGGGTTACACACGCAGGAGGCTGCCTGGGCATTATCCTCCTCCTCCTCATCCAGCCATCACAAAGTAGAGCCCCAGATACTCTAAATCCCACCAAAAGACGCACTAGCATGTGTGTCTCCGAAGCCCAGACAGGCCTTGCTTTAAAGGCCTCGGGATGGCCGGCGCCGCGGCTCAACAGGCTAATCCTCCGCCTGCGGCGCCGGCATACCGAGTTCTAGTCCCGGTCGGGGCGCTGGATTCTGTCCTGGTTGCCCCTCTTCCAGGCCAGCTCTCTGCTGTGGCCCGGGAGTGCAGTGGAGGATGGCCCAAGTGCTTGGGCCCTGCACCCCATGGGAGACTAGGAGAAGCACCTGGCTCCTGCCTTCGGAGCAGCGCGCCGGCGGCAGCCATTGGGGGGTGAACCAACGGCAAAGGAAGACCTTTCTCTCTGTCTCTTTCTCTCTCACTGTCCACTCTGCCTGTCAAAAAAAAAAAAAAAAAAGAGGCCTCGGGACAGGTGACCTTATGAGCCACAGGGCCCTAACCGTGCTCTAACACCAGAAATGCCAGCGCCAGGGACTTCACGGCTCACTTTCTCCCTGAAGACAGCAGCCAGTGCATGGGGCCAAGGGCAAGTGACTAGAGGGAGTGTGGAAGGCCTTAGGAGTTGAGGATGATGGACGTTGGGCGGGAGGACATGTCCTGAGGCCTACCCCCCTCTTCCTGTTTTCCAGGACTTCGACCATCACTGCAAGTGGGTCAATAACTGCGTCGGTAACCGCAACTTCCGCTTCTTCATGCTGCTGGTGCTGTCCCTGTGCCTCTACTCGGGCTCCCTGCTGGTCACCTGCCTGCTCTTCTTGCTGCGCACCAGCCACCTGCCCTTCTGCATTGACAAGGCCATGGCGTATCCACACTGGCCCGCCGGCCACGTGGGAGCTGGGGACGCGCTGACAGCCGAGGGGTGGGGTCTCGGGGGAGGGAGGAGCCAGAGGGAGGGGGCGGAGCCGTCTGGAAGGACGAGTCTGGGACTAGGTGAAGGGTTGTGGGAGAGGTCAGGGAAATGGGCGTGGAAATTCAGAAGCCTGCGGGATCAGGGAGCGGGTGCAAGAGGCAAGAGGGGCGTGGGCTGCTGAGGCTTCCGCGTGGGCTGCTGAGGCTTCCGCGTGGGCGGCGGGCTGGCTGGGGCTAGGCCGGGGACGGTCTGACGGCGCCGCTCCTTAGCCGGCGCGCAGCATCCTAGTGGCTGTGCCCGCCGCGGGCTTCCTGGTGCTGCACTTCCTGCTGCTAACGATCCAGGTCCTGTCGGTGAGCGCGGCCGAGCGCTCCTACGAGGGCAAGGTACGCGCGGCCGAGCGCGGGCGCGGCGGCGGGGCATGGGGAGCCCCCTTGCACCCGCAGGACCTGGGCCCTCGCTGCTCTTGCTCCGGTGCCCCCTTAGCCCTTGCAGACCCGGCTCCTGAAGACGCAGCTCCAATCTCGCTCCCTCCTAGAACTCAGCGGTCCCTCGTCCTCCTGGGCGTTTGTTATTTTGAGGGATGGGACTGGGGCAAAGCTGCATCCTGCACTTGTGTTGATCAAAGAACCTGAAATCAGAACACCACCTGCCAGATGCCGGTGGACACACGGAGGGAGGGGCTGGCCCCAGGTCGGGCAGCAGACTCAGAGAAGGAGTTGAGAGTCGAGGACGTGCCACCTCGTGGTTTCCGAGGGGGCAGAAAACAGAGGGGAGGCCATTGCAGGTGAGGGTGCACCCTGGCAAGCCAACAAGGAAGCGGTTCTAACTGGAGCAGCAGCTGACTCCGTGGGCGTGACCAAATATAAAGCCCAGATCAGATGGCGAATGGGGGCTCGAGGTAGTAGGAACCTGAGAGGCATGCTAGAAATATATTCAGACCAGTCCCCTGCCACCCCCCCAGGAAATTGTGCCTGGAAGTCAATTTCTCCGCCTTGCTGTGGGCAACCACTGACCTGTTTTCTGTCCTTACAGCTTTTCCTTTTCGAAAAATCTCCTGTAAATGGAATCGCGGCCTTTTGAGTCTGGCTTCCTGCACTTAGCATGATGCATTTGAGGGTCAGCCATGCCGCTGCTCCTATGAGCGGTTTCCTCCCGTTTATCGCTGTGTGTGGGTAAACACAGGGCGCTCATCCACTCGCGGAGGTCCTAGTTTCGGGTGGATGTGAGGCCACTGTGATGACTGCTGTCATGACAAGCACGGGAACCTATGCTTTCGTTTCTCTTGGGCTAATGTGTCGGGTGGCAGTGCTGGGCCATCTGGTGACATGAGAAACTGCAGTGGCTCCCCACCAGCGAGGTGTGAGCATTCCAGATACTGGGCATCCTCAGCAACATTGGACGTTGTCATGATTTTGTTTGTTTGTTCTTGCTTTTTTCTGGCTTTTTTATTCCAGCCAATCCAATAAATGTTTAATGGGCTCTCATGACGGTTGCCATTTGTAAGTTCCTAAAGACTAAAGATGTTGAGCATCTTTTGGTGTTCTTATTTGTCATCTAACTTTGGTGGTAAAATCTTTCTCAATTTTTTGCCCATTGAAATTTAGGGCTATTTTATTATTATCAGTTTATTTATTGGAAAGGTGAGTTACAGAGAGGGAGAGGGAGAGGTAGAGAGAGAGAGAGAGAGAGAGAGAGAGAGAGGTCTTCCATCCGCTGGTTCACTCCCCAAATAGCCGCAACAGCCAGAGCTGGGCCAATCCGAAGCCAGGAGCCAGGAGCTTCTTCTGGGTCTCCCATGAGGGTTCAGGGGCCCAAGCACTTGGACCATCTTCTACTGCTTTTCCCAGGTGCAATAGCAGGGAGCTGGATCAGAAGTGGACCAGCCGGGACTTGAACCTGTGCCCATATGGGTGCCACGAACCTGTGCCCATATGGGTGCCAGCACTGTAGGCGGCAGCTTTACCTGCTACACCACAGTGCTGACCCCAGGGTTATTTCATTATTGAATTTTAAGAGTTACTTATATATTTTGGATCCAGAGATATATTTTGTGGATATGTTCTCCCAATCTGTGGCTTGTCATCTTATTATTTTTATTATTATTTTTTTCCTAAAGAAAGCTTTTATTTAAGGAATACAAACTTCACTCATTTCCTAAGTACAACTTTAGGAATATAGTGATTCTTCCCACCATACCCGCCTTACCCACACTCCCACCACCCCCTTACTCCCACTCCCAGTCCCATTCTCCACTAAGACCCATTTTCAATTAACTTTATACACAGAAGACCAACTCTATACTAAGTAGAGTTCAACAGTTTGCATAAAAAAGGCTGTTCCTCAACAGTTGAGACAAGGGTGTTTAAAGCCATTGCATCTCAAAGTTAATTTCATTTCATTTTTTTAAGAAACTTAACTTTAAAAAAGCATCCATGAATGATAATATTTTGTAAGCACTTAGACATAACTAAAACTTATGAGACATAAGAATATCCTCCACTTCATACACTAAAACAAAATAAATATTTGAGAGCAAGTTTTACTGTTAACTCTCATAATACAGCTCTTTGAGGACAGAGGTCCTGCATGGGGAATTAGTGCACAGTGACTCCTGCTGTTAACTTAACCGTTAACACTCTTGTGTATGTCAGTGGTCACCTGAGGCTCCTGACATGAGCTGCCTAGGCTATGAAAGCCATGGAAGCCTTTTGAATCCACAAACTCCATCAGTATTTAGACACAGCCATGAGCAAAGTGGAAGTTCTCTCCTCCCTTCAGAGAAAAGTACCTCCTTCTTTGATGATTCCTTCTTTCCGCTGGGATCTCACTCACAGAGGTCCTTCATGTAGGACATTTTTTTGCCACATTGTCTTTCCATGTCTGAAATGGCATGGCTTTCCATGTCTGAAATGCTCTCGTGAGCTTTTCAGCCAGACTAGAATGCCTTAAGGGCTGATTCTGCATCTCCTTCTTTTTATTTTTATTTTTCGACAGTGAGAGAGAGAGAGAGACAGAGAGAAAGGTCTTCCTTTTACCATTGGTTCACCCCCCAATGGCCACTGCTGCTGGCGTGCTGCAGCCAGCGCACTGCGCTGATCCAAAGCCAGGAGCCAGGTACTTCTCCTGGTCTCCCTTGCAGGTGCAGGGCCCAAGCACTTGGGCCATCCTCCACTGCACTCCCGGGCCATAGCAGAGAGCTGGCCTGGCAGAGGGGCAACCGGGACAGAATCCGGCACCCATGTGGGATGCCAGCACCGGCAGGCAGATGATTAGCCAAGTGAGCCACAGCTCTGGGCCCCAGTATCTCCTTATTCTTTTTTTTATTTAGTAAATATAAATTTTCAAAGTACAGTTAATGGATTACAATGGCTTCCCCTCCCCCATAATTTCCCTCCCACTCACACCCCTCCCATCTCCCGCTCCCTCTCCCATTCCATTCACATCAAGATTCATTTTCAATTATCTTTATATACAGAAGATCAATTCAGTATATATTAAGTAAAGATTTCATCAGTTTGCACCCACACAGAAACACAGAGTGTAAAATACTGTTTCAGTACTAGTTATAGTATTACTTCACATTGGACAACACACTAAGGACAGATCCCACATGAGAAGTAAGTACACAGTGACTCCTGTTGTTGACTTAACAATTTGACACTCTTTTTTATGGCATCAGTAATCTCCCTAGGCTCTAGTCATGAGTTGCCAAGGCTATGGAAGCCTTTTGAGTTCGCCGACTTCGATCTTATTCCAACAGGGTCATAGTCAAAGTGGAAGTTCTCTCCTCCCTTCAGAGAAAGGTACCTCCTTCTTTGATGGCCCCGTTCTTTCCACTGGGATCTCACTCACTGAGATCTTCCATTTAGGTCTTCTTTCCCCTCCACCCCCAGGGTGTCTTGGCTTTCCATGCCTAAAATACTCTCATGGGCTCTTCAGCCATATCCGAATGCCTTAAGGGCTGATTCTGAGGCCAGAGTGCTATTTAGGACATCTGCCATTCTATGAGTCTACTGTGTATCCCACTTCCCATGATGGATTGTTCTCTCCCTTTTTGATTCTATCAGCTAGTACTAGCAGACACTAGTCTTGTTTGTGTGATCCCTTTGACTCTTAGACCTATCAGTGTGATCAATTGTGAACTGAAATTGATCACTTGGACTAGTGAGATGGCATTGGTATATGCCACCTTGATGGGATTGTATTGGGATCCCCTGGAATGATTCTGACTCCACCATTTGGGGCAAGTCCGACTGAGCATGTCCCAAATTGTACATCTCCTCCCTCTCTTATTCCCCCTCTTATATTTAACAGGGATCACTTTTCAGTTAAAATTTAAACACCTAAGAATAATTGTGTGTTAATCACAGAGTTCAACCAATAGTACTAGAACAAAACAAAGAGAAAATACTAAAATGGATAAAGTATTACATTGTACATCAACAATCAGGACAAGAGCTGATCAAGTCACTGTTTCTCATAGTATCCATTTCACTTCAACAGGTCTCCCCTTGGGTGCTCAGTTAGTTGTCACCGATCAGGGAGAACATATGATATTTGTCCCTTTGGGACTGGCTTAATTCACTCAGCATAATGTTTTCCAGATTCCTCCATCTTGTTGCAAATAACTGGATTTCGTTGTTTTTGACTGCTGTATAGTATTCTATAGAGTACATGTCCCATAATTTCTTTATCCAGTCTACTGTTGATGGGCATTTGGGTTGGTTCCAGGTCTTAGCTATTGTGAATTGAGCTGCAATAAACATTAACGTGCAGACAGCTTGTTTGTTTGCCAATTTAATTTCCTTTGGGTAAATTCCAAGGAGTGGGATGGCTGGGTTGAATGGTAGGGTTATATTCAGGTTTCTAAGGAATCTCCAGACTGACTTCCATAGTGGCTTAACCAGTTTGCATTCCCACCAACAGTGGGTTAGTGTCCCTTTTTCCCCAATCCTCTCCAGCATCTATTGTTGGTAGATTTCTGAATGTGAGCCATTTTAACCGGGGTGAGGTGAAACCTCATTGTGGTTTTGATTTGCATTTCCCTGATTGCTAGTGATCTTGAACATTTTGTCATGTGTCTGTTGGCCATTTGGACTTCCTCTTTTGAAAAAATGTCTATTGAGGTCCTTGGCCCATCTCTTAAGTGGGTTGTTTTGATGTTGTGGAGTTTCTTGATTTCTTTGTAGATTCTGGTTATCAACCCTTTATCTGTTGCATAGTTTGCGAATATTTTTTCCCATTCTGTCGGCTGCCTCTTCACTTTCCTGTTTCTTTTGAAGTACAGAAACTTCTCAATTTGATGCAATCCCAAATGTTAATTTTGGCTTTGACTGCCTGTGCTTCTGGGGTATTTTCCAAGAAGTCTTTGCCAGTACCTATA